ATCCGTGAGTGAGGCGTTGTAAGTCCCAAGCGGCTCTACTCCGAGTTGGGTGACGTGCGAAGCTGCGTTGAGTTGAGTTGTATTGTTGTGATGTTGTCCTATATGTAGGAACGTCTGCGTGGGTGTGGGTGTCAGCACAAGGCTTGCTGTTACCTTATCGGCGGGTAGACCGTCGATGTCAGCTGAGTCACCTTTGTGGGCCGTAAATTGTATGTGTAGTGGCGGAAGGGTAGGTACACAAACATGGTCGCTCCTGAGCAATCTTTGTTATCAAATCACCTGGGTGTCAAGAGACGTTATTCGGTATAGCGTCGAGTGATTCTGTCAGAGTAGGACATTCTGGCATTACTGGATGTTCTCATAACCTGCTCTATTAATGGTCTTTGGGACCACTCGGAGCAAATCGCCCTGTCACGTGTTTGGTCCCCAAGCACATTTCCCTCAACGTGCTCTTTTATTTGTTCCTTTTTCGCGTGTCTTCACTGCGTGTTTTTAGTACTCACATGAAAATAAAGGACCCATAGGTGGGATTCCGGTGTAAATGTGACAACTCTTCAATATGTTCGAGCTCTATGCAAACCTAAAGCGCCTTAATTAATGCAAATATCTGAAGAATGTACTGAGCAATGAGTCTTTCTCTATTTTCCAGCTTCCACAACAGTTCACTTCGCCACCTAATTGGGAAATAGTCAGTCGCTTATTGTCATTCCATCATCCTCTTTCCAACTTGCTACAGCTATGCTTTTGACTTTTTTCTCTTACAAGGTGGAATTCTCTACCTCCCCAACGACGAAACCCACACACTGGAAACAAACAGTATTCTTTTTGGACAAACCCCTGAGAGTCAAAGCTGGTAAGCTTTTTGAGGATTAGACGATGTTCTTCCTCTTTCTTCGACTGGGTTACTCTGTGTCTGCGGGGTGGAGAATCCATATATAGAGGTGGTTTTTAGCTTTATCCGATTGTCTGCCAGTGGTTTGTGCATTCATAAATCGTTTCTTTTGTTTTCAGGCCTCCAGAATTCTGTCGATACTCTTAAGGGGAGATCCTGTGTGGCGCCTGCGCGTAGACTTGGATAGACCAATGTGTACCGCTCATCGCTTTTGATTCCTTGCCAATCAGATAACGATAGCATGAACTGCATAAACCATGTGTCGAAATGATTTGGATCGCTCATTTTCTGGCGGTATCTCGCCTTGTGCTGGGGTTCTCTCTCTCTGTCTCCCTTAAGTCAGCTGGGATTCGGGTTAAACTCTGAATCTGGAGATAATCTGATCAGTCACTCAGTATTACTTCTAATTGGCTGATGCTAAGAATTCTCAACAAACTTTGATCCATTGTTGTTAAAGGTATGGGAATCCAAATGTCTGGTGAAGGCGTGAATTCCGTGGGAATCCATAGTCCCAACGATGTTTGAAGTTGCTTCGGATAGCCACGAACAAAAAGGAGAAATCGCATATGAGGGTGGAACAGATGCGAGTTGCCAAGTTGGGTTGTGTTGAGTGGAATCGGAAGGCTTGGCTCCCTGTATTAGAGTAAAACGCATTCGGTTCGGGGTTTCACAGGCAACGATTGATGAAGCAGTCGCTCTTTTGACATTTTGGGAAACCTCGTTGTCTCAGTAGTTTCATCTTATTGTCAGGTCATTTCGCGTTGATTCGTTCGATCTTCACTGGGCGCTTGCCAGTTTTCGGCCCCACCATACTGCGGACGTTTCGGTTCATCGTGCTTTCTTTCTAGGAACACTCTTCGAGCAAGTCGTTGAACGGCCGTCGTTCTGGGAGATATAGCAACACCACCTGATGATCTAGCATGCGTTAAATATTGGTTAGTTTGTCGGTCACATGAACACCCTAAAGTGAACCTTCTTTCGATAAATTCGAGGCTAAATTAGATACTTTTTTCGAAACTACTGATATCAGTCACTGTAGTCCACTGTAGTTTTTGGCTCTGCATACTAGATATCACGATTCGTTTGACTTCATCTCTCTTCGTGCTCTTTCACAGGAGATCTGATCACAGGCAGTCTAACAATCCGGCGTTCCGTACGAGATAGCCGTGGTCTAGAATTCTCCCTTCGTATTGATGCGCTACGCGACCAACCAGTCACCTATCAGTCTTTTGCACTGACCAATTAAACCTGTTCGCCGGTAAACACCACTCAATCCTATTTTCACTTGATTTTCTAAGAGACTGTACATTTGCGCCACAAATATACGCTTTTTTCTACAGGACTTATGGTTTTTCGAGCATTGTTCTTTTTTCGTTTGATTGGAATATGCCACTGTTTGCTGTGCTGAACGAATCACTCGTAGCTTCTGTTGGATTTAACACTGTACCGATTATAAAAACTACTTTCAGACTGTACACTCATTTGCAAACTAATTTGGTTTTGTGAGAGACTCACCTGGAACCCAGCTGAATCCCTGGTTTGTGATGTTTCCAGGCAACCGAATGTACTGCACCAGGCCGCCTCATGTTTCAGTCGCTATGATATTCGAGATACCGCGATGCATGCATATTCGTAATGCACTACTCATAAGGTTGCTGGAAATCAATCGACAGTCCATGACCGGTTTCACCCTTCTTGGGGCTCATCAGGTGGGCGCAGTCCCCGAGTTTCCAACAACCTTATGTTATACTTGAAACGAAATTGCACGAAATTAGCGAACTACACTCATTTGCAAACTAATTTGGTTTTGTGAGAGACTCACCTGGAACCCAGCTGAATCCCTGGTTTGTGATGTTTCCAGGCAACCGAATGTACTGCACCAGGCCGCCTCATGTTTCAGTCGCTATGATATTCGAGATACCGCGATGCATGCATATTCGTAGTGCACTACTCATAAGGTTGCTGGAAATCAGTCGACAGTCCACGACCGGTTTCGCCCTTCTTGGGGCTCATCAGGTGGGCGCAGTCCCCGAGTTTCCAACAACCTTATGTTATACTTGAAACGAAATTGCACGAAATTAGCGAACTGCACTCATTTACAAACTAATTCGGTTTTTCAAGAGACTCACCTGGAACCCAGCTGAATCTCTCGTTTGTGATGTTTCCAGGCAATTGAATATGCTGCTTTCAGACTGATTTGAAGCCGGTAATTTTATGGGAGCAGAATATCTTAGAGGACTGTCATACTTGTTCCTAAGGGTTTGTTCATTTCTTGGGGTAACATGTAGTCCGAAATATCGTTATCCCCAAGGTCCGTTCTGTTTGATTGCCGGATGTCGGAAAATCGCTCAGCAGCCCAACAGAAAACAGCTCTTCATCGTCCTGGATTGGATTAACCTGATAGATCACTTGCACAAATAACCCATCTGTGTTAGCTTCTGCGGCTTGTTATTCTCCCTTGACTGTGTTATTCGAACAAAACGGCGACACTCATAGTAACCCTACTAGCTATACTCTAGATGTCAATCCATTGAGGGCAAAAGACCCGGTGTGACTGTGGTATGTATTCAGTTATGTCCTTTGTTGGCAGTGCCCTAGGGGGAAAGACTGGCTCCCATGAGTATCATGTACTTTAGCCAACGATACCGGTAATCTGAGGCAAGTTGGCGACTAAGGTAAATGACTACCACCGGGTACTGGAGGTCATTCTGATTAGACGACCAGGTTTTTAGTTGCCTCTCTCCACCTGAGTGGCAGTACAAATTTCGACACGGGCCTGGGTTGCGGTTGGTGAACTACACATCCAAAACAGTTCAGTCTAATTTGTTGAGTGATCGGTTTTGATACACATTACTGCTTTCTTTTGGCGCTTACCTGCCCCGATTTTTTTTTGCTGTCCGTTAGTCAGCGACCCCGTTTTCTAATCCTTATTGTTCCTATTTGTTAAACAATTCCGCACCATATCCAGCCGACACAAGTCATCAATGTTCCAATCTGATCTTCGTCTCTCCCCCGCTTGTTGTCCAATATTATCGCTTGTAACGCCGCACTCCAAACCTCACGCTTTTCCGCGTTCTCTTTCCACAAGGATCTTTCACCCTTTTTGGATCCACAGTTCGACCATAAACAATGGATTAATGAAGTTTTGACCGCAACCACTGGGGATCACAATGTTGAAGTGAGTGTAAATCCTGGCACAAGGTAACATGGTGCAAGGAGAGTTCGTTATGAATACCAGCGTATTGTACCATTGATTATTTGTGCCGAAACTCAGGTTTCCCGTGTGTCATAGTGGTTATCTTCGATAATGACAGGCTCGCGAAGATCACACCTTTGCTGTTCCTCATACAGCGTTTGCTAGTTGCTAATCTGTTGATTTCGACTGTTTTCTGTTACAGCAACAGGCTTCCGAGCTGGTTCTACAACTCCAAGCTCAGATGAAGGTAGGTTGAATGCTCACATATAACCACCATCCGCGTGGTATTCTCTGCCGATTCTAGCTGGTTTCATTCATCACTTGTCTTGTTTGCGTTTCAGGAAGTCATGCAGTCGATCGAACGGTCATGCCAAGAAGCTGTTCATTGTGTTCCGCGGTTAGTTTTCCATTTCAGTCTGGTCAATTTCTTTTTTTCTCTCCACATTTATACTTCACGACGAGACTGCACGACTGTCTGGTTTTCCTAGCATGCCTGCTCTGTTAGTGATCCTACTGCTCCGAGGTTTCGCATATTACTGAACAAACCGAAAGATGTATGCTTTTGGAGATTTCCCAGTGTTGCAAAGTCATGGAAACAAACGGTGGTTAGCTGCATGGGATATTTTGGCACTCACGGAAAACAGTTGCTTTCACTGTGTGCATTACATTTTTCAATCAGAAAGGGGTTGATCTTCAGAAAGCCGGATGACCCCACCTATGCTCTGCGTCCTCATTTCTGGAAGATGACCTTACCACGGACTGTAATGAAGGTTCACGATCCCTTTCACTTTGATGTTACCTGCTTTCTGGGAGTCATTTTAAGGCTCAACTGGTCACAAGCAGGGCTTGCTAGATTGATACAATTCGTACTGTATAGGATCCGGGACTTGGTCTGAGAACTTTTATCTGTTTGAAGGAACCGCATCATTTTTATTCGACGCACAGAATCTATCGTAGATAGGGTTAGGGAAGTAAACTCTTGTTTTAGCGTGTGTAAGACAGAATCTTGCCTCAAGATGTCCACCCAATTTGTGTTTCTTCGAAACTCCAAAGCCTGCTGATCGATTTCAATGTCCTCCGGACTGAGGACCCAAAGTGTCTCCAATTGTTCGACCACCGATAGTGTTAGTTAGCTCTAAAAAACGAAGTTCCAGCCTTTCGTCAAACACTCACTTGCGCACCCATTTGATTTTACCTAGGAGATCGATTGAATCCAGTCGTTCTTCAACTGAATGTACTCCGTAAGTCCGCGGCATCGCATATCGTCCCAACCCAATCCTGAGGTGGCCTTATCAAGCATATTCAGTTGAGGAACACCATAAACCAGACACTAAGCTGGGTTCGCTTGAATTTATCGTCAAAACCGAATTCAGCATATTCAGTTGAGGGACACCATAAACGAGACACTAAGCTGGGCTCGCTTGAATTTATCGTCAAAACCGAATTCGTGCGCAAACGGGCGTTGTTCGTGAACGACGTACTATCTGGGTTCGAGTAGAATATATTTTTGACAGAAACTCGAGGACGGTGCCTACCTGATGAACCCAAAGAAGGGCTAGGCTGGTCATTGAATGTCGAAGAGTTTTCAGCAACCTTATGAATAGGGTATTCCATCGGTAATTTTCAGCTAGATTAACTCACCTTGAACACCACTCAAGCTGGCAGCTGTTGCCTTTGTGGAAGTACCGATGAATGCTTAGTGTTTCCCAGTGAGATGTTCTAATGTATATATTGATGTGCACGGGCATTTTGAATTGGGAATGGGCAGAATTGTGACGAATTTCACTGCAACAAAATGCGTTGCAGCGTCAGTGCCGAAGGTAGCTTACAGGTCTGGTGAAGCAGTTTCATATTACCATGTTTTCGAGCTCGGTAGGTTGAAATAAAGTGACGGACAGACGGGCTTGCTTCGTTTGTCAGCACGACACCATTGCAAGAGAATCGTCAGATATTTTCAGGTGATATAGCGCATATGCAGTGCGCACCGATTGGGCGCAATGCAGCTATCAGTGTGCCTAGGTTCTCCTTGGACCAGCTGATGATGATACATACATGGCATTGCGAGTTGGTTATGTTTAAGAAACTTTCTTTAGTCTCGCATATATTTCAAAATAAACTGAACTGTATACTATAGTCAGAAAGAAAACAACAGGAATCACGAGCTGTAGTCGTGGCAAATGTTGAGTTTTGTAGACAATGGTGTAACTGCTGTCGCAGCCCTTGACGTCTTGTTCCGCCTACCATGGTATTTCAAAAGGCACAGTAGGTTGAGGTAGCCCCGTTTTTATGAAGTCATCACGGATTTTTCCCCAAGGTCACGCTGGAATTTTTGTGAGGGGGCGTGAAGCACCGAATCCAAGGTACTCGATCCTAATTGGCTAAAATTCTGACCAATCAGGGCGTGCCCCCGTAGCCGGCTCGCGACACATCCGTCCAATCGGCGTGATGTTCGGTTATTTAAAGAGGCTTACCTCCGGATAGTAAAGGAACCGATTAAGAGCGAATCATTAGTGTATTTAGACAAATGGGGCGAGATGGCTCAAGTGGTTAGAGCGCGAATTTACTGACCGGAAGGTCCGTGGTTCGAACCCGACCTCTGCCACTCGACTTCCCCTGTCTAAGCTTGGGCAACCTGACAGTATCCCAGCCCTCGTGCTTCCTTCGGGTGGCATGGCAGCTAGGCACCGAAAGGGCGCTACAGCTGAACGATTATTTATTATTATTAGACAAATAGTTCGAGATGGCCCATTGGTTCAGGTGTGAACTTGTTGATCGAAATGTCTATGGTTCGAACCCAACTCCGGCATCTCGACTGTTCACGTTTAGGTTTGGACAGTCTGACAGTATCTCAGCCCTCGTTCTTCCTTTGGGTGGCGCGCCAACTAGACAAAGAACTTTCATTTTATCGCTTCCCCACCTAATGTGGAAGGCTGTGAGGTCCGTTCAGCCGAGAGTGATAGGGATAAATTCCATGCAACACTTCTCGGTTTACTATCGCATTACACGCTGTTGTTGTGGTACTCGTTTTTATTATTACGTCTCTGTCTGCTGCCATCAGTTTTGTCTTATTAAGCACAACACGGTTGACAAGGGAAACGTCATTCTCCTGTTCTCAATAGTTCGTTTTGCTTACTTTTCGCATAGACTACTCCACTCCGTGGACACTTTGAAGGTCGATGCCATCGCTTTAGGAAACGAGCTAGCCGTACTTTTCGCATAGACTACTCCGTGAAGTGGACACTTTGAAGGTCGATGCCATCGCTTTAGGAAACGAGCTAGCCGCAATGCGCGACAACATCAGTCAAGTACGTGCGAGTTCTGATCTGTCGAGCGTGGTGTTTGTAGTGTTTCGTGGATTCATGAAGTCCCTCTCGTTCCCCCGCTCTACCCAACAGGTCGATTCAACTGGGGAGCAAATCATCAGCCAGTTGGCGGAACTCGACCGAGCTCGCCGAAACGCACATGCCGCAGCCAATGCTCTGCGGGAAACCGATCGATGGTCTAGTTTGGTGCTGGGGATTGGGGAATTGTTGGAAGCTGGAGAAATGGATCAGGTGTGTCCTCCTTACAAATATCGTTTCCCTCTCCCCCCTTGGTTATGTTGTTCTCATTTCCGTCAGTGGTTGCTTAATTCTTTATGCAGTACGGTAAAATCAAGCATAATATTCTGGACGAAACTGTGCGTGTTCTCCATCCCCACAAGTCCTGTTTAATGGGAAAAATGATTCCCCCTACCACAGTCGGCTACAATCCTGCTCTCACCAAGAGACCGCTTCGAAGAAGGTAGGTCAATGGCCGGGTACAAAATTCTTTTGCTTTACGAGGCCCGAGAAGCGCAACCAAGGAGAGCGTGGACTGTTCGCCCTGGCGGAAAAGTATATTTACTGTGCATGCGCAAGCTTGCGACAAAAAGGAACTGGGGTTGGTTATTCAGTCCGCTCCCTTGATCGTTGTGCGCGTCAGACAACATCGATGAACCTATGCACCGTCCGGGGATCCTTTTCCTTGCTGTGACAGCTGCAATTCGGTTCCAATAATGTTTGTGTGGATTCATTCAGCTTTTCTACACTTTACGGCATTGTAAGACATTAATGCCGTACGTTTCGTACGATTGGCTGTTTGTGACAATTCTCTTCATATTGTCAAACTTGGAAACCGTTGATTATCCTCCTGTTGGGGACCCACGCAACATGATTGAGTGCACTATTTCTCCGAGCAGCTCATTACGGTTTGGCGATCCATGAGTCCTATCAGGAAGGCTCGTTCCCCGAACCTCCATTAAAAGACTTGTTTTTGACTTGACCACCAGTTTTCTTCGATCTTGTGAGTAGTACAAAAGATACTTGATATCCTGTTATGGCCTTCGCACAGCACATCCACTTGAAAAACACCAAACGAGAAGTTCAAGTGGATTTCAGGTTGGACTCACGTTAACCCCAACTTATTTTTCCATCCCACTTCAAGTTCAAGTGAAATACAAGGTGATGAGCATGATTTGGCCGCAAAAGAGCGGACCCGATTGTGTTCTGTCGTAGGGTTTTCAACAACATTACAATTGGCGGGTTATGCCAATAAATGTACTCTCATATCTCGAAGCCTTCCACTAAAACCAACTTAATTTGCTCCTAGGTGTTTATCACAACTCAAATGAGCCTAGGATTCGACATTGCCTAACTGTTTTTCTGGTTCCTAATGCGACTTTTCTCCATAAACGACATGGTCGGCGCGGCCGCGTCGAAAACACCTAAAGGACTGGCTCCACATAGCCAATAGCACGCATCAATAAACCGCGTATGCCAAGTACGAGGTGTGTAAATTTCGACAATGGGGTTTGGTTGTTTTCAACATCGGAAAGTCATCCAGGCATCAGCCTGGTAGCCGCAGCATCCAAGGTGCTTCTGGCATTATTTTGCGCAGGTTGATCGAGCGTGAGAAATCCGTGCGAATCTAGCTGAGTTTCGCCGTTGCCGAGGGTGCATCGGCCATAGTTTTCCATTGAGATAAGTTCTTGAACATCGCCGCTCAATTTGCTCGTTCTTGTCCAAATTTATATCCCTTATGAAGGCACTGTATGCGAACTCCTTTGGACATTCGCGAGAATACATCACTCTTTCTCCTGAGTTAACCGCGTCCAGGCTGCTATCTCTCACCAGTCCTCTTCAACTTTTGTTATTGGTGTGCTGCTTGAAATGCCTCCTCCAGCCTCTGAGGCCTCATGCATCGAAATGCTCCCGGGTTGTTCGCTCCCGCAAATTGTGTATGTCGCCCTCCTGGATTCAGATCCTGGAAACACTCAAACCATTTACAACGACCTCAAGAATTCCGTTACACGATTTGATGTGCGCTTCACAGCTGTAAATTGTGAGGTACTGCTACAAGACTGAGTGGAATCGAATCCATACATCATGACCATCGAAGTGAAAGATAACTTTTTTCTATCTGGGCAGGCGTACAAGTTCCGACAGACCGGCTGGAGATGATATTACTTCTAGAATCAGGAAGACCAGGGCAGCTTATGGCAACCTCTGACAGCTTTGGCACCGACGTGACTGTCAAGGACAATTTACACTGCGGCAGTGCGATCCATACTGCTGCGTGGGTCGGGGACGTGGGAACAGAGGACACACGAAAAATGTCAGCCCTTGACCATCAGTGTGTCCAAAGCATTGGTGGAGTCAAGTGGGAACACCGGATTAGCAACACTGAAGTACGGATAATGGCTTCAGGAAAAAGGAACTCCCGCACGAAGAATGAGCCACTCACGCTTCATAGGTTACGCCGGTTAGGACGTGTACCTCGCATATCAGAAGATCATCGTTCTCGCAGGTTACTTTACGCCCAGCCCTTTGCTGAGTAAAAGCGACAGAGGGATGGACAGTCTATGACCCGGCAACGTAGCATGAAAACACTCACCGGTAAACTGAGTCCGGTTTGCAGCTGCGACCTCCATGGATGGGGACCCCGGAACTCAATTCATCAATAGCTAATGACACTGACAGACATGGTTCAATCACACAACCGGTGGGGCTCATGCACCTTCAATGTGTGGCTATCT